GGCAGCCTTTGAAAATGCTGTGTGTTGCACCTGAAAAACGCTGTCTGTAATCTGCATAAATCAGCTTTTTGTCATGTTTATCATAGTTCTAACATCAATCAAGATTGAAGGCTGCTTGTGTGAGGCACATATATAAAATATGAAAGAAGAGATACTCCTTGCCTCAGAGGAAACATAAGGCAGGGAGGACTCTAATGTATAAAACAAAACTTGTGTGAGTATAGCAAATATTAGTTCTGTAATTTCTTTGTTTCTGTTTTACGTCAGGAAGGGCTAGCTAGGCAAAGCAAGAGGTTGGATCAGAGTTGGGAGCCAACAGCCAGTCAGTATAACTTCATGTTCAGAGGGAAATGAAGGAGAGTGGTATGGTAAGGACTGCTTTTTCTATCAGGTGTAGTGTCCTCTCAAGCGATTCTGGATTGTATTTTTTTCGTTCTCATTAAAAAAAAAAAAAAAGAACCAAACCACAAAACAAACAAAACCCCCACTTCTTCATAAATGAGAGCTTCTTTTATGGTGTTGGGATCTACTTATCTTACCCCACTTCTGTCCATGTAGCATTTTTGTTTGTTTTTGCTGTACCTCATTCTAGTCAGGTGTCCCAAAGTACAGTGTTTTACTGTTAACCTTAATGCTTATTACAGGTTTTTTCCTTCAACATGATGCAATATTCTTTATTAGGTTTTTGTTGGGATTTTTTTGGTTGGTGTGGTTTTTTTGGGTTTTTTTGGGTTTTTTTTTAACAACTTCACTTGAAGCAGTTCTTCAGCACTCCCAGCACTTATTGCTGAGAAAGAATTGTGTTGAAGGCTTGGAATTACATGCATTGAAGGACAAAAGTCAGCTGCCTTCCTAGAATGTAGTTCAGGCAAGACCTGCAGTGACTGAATTGCCTAAAAGAGGCAATTTCCTTTCTCTGAAGAAGCATGTTACTTTTATTGTCTAGAAGCTTACTGTCTGCAAGCCTGCAGTCTGTGACTGCAGCAGCCTGCCAGTTATGTGTTGAGAATACAGGATTGTTAAAGGTGCTGTTGGAGAAGAGTATGCTCGTAAAGGGATGCCAGCTACCTTAGTTTTGCAAAGTATGAAAGGATTGTGTTGAATCTGCTTTGTAAGGTTTCCTGTGAGGTGTATTGAGCCTCTGAGAGGATCAGTATATTGCTATTTGCCTCCCTGTAGTAACATGGGTTAGTCTGGAATAACACTAATAATAAAAGTTCTGCCTGCCACTTTTACTGTCTGCTTCCCGGTTTTATAAAGCCTTAAACAAACTCATATGTAACAAAAAGGAGGCTTTACTATCTTTACAGCTGCAGAACGGCTTGGGTGTGTACATGCAGAAAATGGAGGTGTTCTCTTATCATAGCTAGAGGCTGTACCTATATACCTCATGTGCTAAGTGCTTATGGTTTTTAAGACTAAGGCTGCTTGTATTTTGATGAAAAGCACTTGCATTGAGTTGTAGCCTGAGAGAGTCTTGAAACTTGAGGACTGGGGAAAAAGGGGAGGAAGGAAGGGGAAATGCTTTCTGACCATTGGGAATGTCCAGAGGGCTATGTTTGCTAAGTGCTACAATTTATCACGGTAATGATGATTTCCTGTTTGGGGGTTAGAATGTTGTGATGAAAAATCTGTGTTATGGTAAGGATTTTAACAAAATCTATTCAGTTTAAAATAAATTTAATAGCATTTTGATGAGCAATAAATGATGAGAATTTGCGCATGTGTATGCTGATGAGAATCATCGTCATAGCTGGAAGGAGCATCTTACTGTGTGAAATGCCAGAGAAGGAAGGGAAGAAAGGGAAGTGGGAGTTTGGAAGAGTGTTGTGTATTGGTAGAGGTATATTTCTCTAAATTCTCCTTTAGAATAGTTATGTGCTACATAGATCATAATACTAGTTGGAGAATGTGCTGTCCCACTGCTGTCAGACTTTTGCTAGATACAGAGCATCAGATTTTGTACAGCTGTCCTCATCACGGTCCTCTATCGGTTCTACTACACGCTAGTGCAAGGTACCACTGCTGCCTGTTTCTCACTCGGTACAAGAGCATAGCTGTGCAGCTGCATCAGGCATTCACGGCAGCTCTGTATTCAACAAAACTACCTCTTCAGCTTCCATCTTGTTCTGTGTCTCTTTCTCCGTCATACAGTAATCATTTATATTGCAATATTTGGTGTGCCAGCAAATGCTGGCAAAGTAGGAGCCTGACGCAGTTTCAGTGGCGTTTTTATTCTATCCAGGCAGTGACCATTCTTTGTAGTCTACTCGAAGTTCTACTTGGGGTCTGGTGCAGCGAGTACGGTGCCATCCCTGATGGTTTCCCTGGAGGGAATTCCAGTTCAGCACCTTGTGATATGCATAAAAACATCTGTTTCTGTTTGTGATACATTTATAACTCTCAATTCTCCTTTGCCTTATGTGGCATAGGATTGCATGCTCCTTATATAGCTATACCAAGCTGTAGCTTGATACTGCTTGCTATATAGCAGGGCATAAAACCAACTCCCCCTGGGGCAAAGGCAAGCTTTTGTCCTACCGTGATCGCTCAGGTTCAGGAAACTGCTTGATCACATTGTAACTTTGTAGGAGATTAATAAATAAACTGTGGCTGAATTTAATTTATGTTGTCTTGCCTTGCGAACGAGCTTAATTTCATGCAAAAATATAATTTTCATAATGTATTCTGTTATTCTTTTAATTTTGAGAGCTAAACTAATCATTACAGTGTTAATTTTGTTACTGCCTCTTCCACAAGATTTGCTTGCCCTTTCAGCTAGGCAAACATGTATCTTAGACTTCCTTTCTAGTTATGAGACTTGGAAATGGCAAGAGAATTGAATCCCTTATCCTAAAGCAAGGTTTTCACAATCACTGCTATTAGCAACTCTGATTTAATTTGTTGTTGTTAGCCTTTTATTAATGGAAGCATAGGTAATGCTTCTTTACATCTGCCTTAAGAGAGACTAGCAGCAGCTTTGGGAAGAGATTTACAGGGCTTAGCTATGGTGAATAGACGAGGGAGAGTTTAATGTGGCATAGACTGGGGAAAAAAACAGTATTAAGAAAGATTGCAGCCAGGCTAGCATGAGAGAATGGTATTGGCATTGTTGAGGACTTCTGTCCTGCATTTGCATTCTCTTCTTTTACTTTAAGATATTTTTTTTTAAAGTAAACTTTTTATAGCATTTTAAGCTTTTCTATACGTAATGTTTATATGTTATGAATAGTAGTTTGTGTGTTGAAAATTTTAGATTGCATTTTGTCTTAATAGGATTTTTGTGTTATTTTATTGTGTGTTGTCTTTCACCACTAAGAAAATGTCCAAATAAACACTGCATTATATAGCAGACATAAATGAGACCTCTCAAGCAATAGATGGCTGAGGCACACTTTTGGGTCTGAGTATAACGCCAGGTGTCACATTGCTTCTGCTAGATCTCACACTTCACAAATTTAAAGGGAAAAGTTTTACTTATGTATAAATCTAATTGTCAGTTGTTGGTGAGAGCTGGGGCTGGTGAACTCGGCATTTGTAGCATTTGAAAGCTTACACGTAGGCCCTTTGAAGACCTTTTTTTTTTTTTTTGGTAAGTTGGAAACTTCTGCTGACAACACCAAGAGGCTGAGCCTGCAATAAAAAAACCTCAAAAATCCAAACAAGCAAACCTAACTCAAAAAACCCCACCTGACCATCCCAGTGTCAGTCTGGTGAAATGAGTTCTAGTCCCTGACTGAACTGATAGAAGTCTTGGCCAACTTGGGCCTACATCTTTAAGAGTAGAGGTTACTGTGGTATGCCATATGCTGTTGGCCAAATCATTTTGTTCTTAGTCAAACAAGTGAGAATAAACACTCTTTAAATTATTGTCTAAGTTAACCTCATTATAAACGTTCCCTTTGTATATAGCAATTAGTGTTGCAGAAGCAGTTTGTGTTGGGTGGGCAAATGGTGGCCATACTACATTAGAGGCAGCCATCCAGCAGAAAATTATACTTGGGGTCTGTGAATATACCACGGGAACTGAAAAAAGCCAAGATATTACAGAATTGATCACATTTGAAAGCTTAAAAAAATAAAACTTTCTTGATCACTTGTGAAGGGGGAAATATTCTCAGTATTCCTATTGCTCTTCTTATTCTGATCACTGCAAGAAATACTGTTGGGGATGTTGCTCTGCAAGCTGCTTGTGAAGGAACTAGCTGGTGATCACAAATTAGTAGAAGACATTTTCTTTATACGTGATTTCCAACTTTTCATGACTGAGGGCTGTTCTGAGAGTTAACCTGAAATAAATAAATAAAAATTTTAAAAAATAAGTATTTGCTTGGCTTTCTGTTACATTTTGGCTGCACTATAATCTGTTGATAATGTATTTTAGGTTTAGTTTAGACATGGTTGGATGGGGCTTTGAGCAACCCGGTCTAGTGGGAGGTGTCCCTGTCCATGGCAGGGGGGTTGGAACTAGATGATCTTCAAGGTCCCTTCCAACCTAAACCATTCTATGATTCTATGGAGAAGAGATTGGTAATCAGTGGTATGTATATTTAAAAATAACAGGCAACTTATGGAAGTGTTGTGAACTTTATATCTAATCACCTGGTTTTGTTTTCTTACAGTCAGATTTTCCTCTGGTAGTTCATAAACTGCAATAAACTTCAAGCTAAATGTGTGTCGAAGGTGCTCATTTTTTCTAGTTTGTTCTGTTGAAGTTTCTCTGGACTGCGCACAAACCAGAACAACAGTATGACTAGTACATTCATATTTAACCAATGGAAATACGAAGTCATTAGTATGCAAATTTAACCTGCAGATGAGCGACAGAAAAAAACAGTGACACGCAACATTGACAGACCTAAATGAAGTAAAACATGCATATTACAGGAAGGGTCTTAAATACTTATTCAGAAATGTTATATGCCATAGTGCATATAGTGCACATTAGAATACTTCATTTATTGCCGAATTAATTCGTTCCTGTCTTTCCTCTGCCACAGGAACTCATTATACGATGACAAATGGAGGAACTATCAACAGTTCAACACATTTACTGGACCTTCTGGATGAACCAATTCCTGGAGTAGGAACATACGATGACTTCCATACCATTGACTGGGTTCGAGAGAAGTGCAAAGACAGAGAAAGGCATAGACGGGTACTTGAGATAAATAATACTCAGAAAATATTTTTTGTTGGATGTTGGAATTAAGGTCTGATCTAGTAACACAGACAAGTTATGTGCGTACTTTAAATTTGTAAGTAGTTATATCAGCTAGAACTACTTGGCTGCTATTGTAAAAGCACTGATTCATCGATACCTGCAGTCCTGCAGTATTATAACTTGGAAAGGAAACAGTAACACAGTGGGAATAGTTCCCTGTTACCCAGATGACATTTTTACAATACTGCCTTCTTTGCATGTTAGTTTATTTAAGGCTATTTTCCAGTGTAGATATATTTGTAATAGTACAATAGTGCTTATGGTGGTACGTGTACAGAAAAGCGAGCACTGATGTATATTGCTTTTATACTGACACAAGTGTACCTGGGCTACCGCTGTGAAGTGCTGCTGCTGTTTGAATTATGGAAAGTGAAAATTCTCATAGTTAAACCACTTATATCAGTGTATATATGCTTAACAAAAAAGTAGTCTCAATATGTATGGTAAATGTCCTTTTCACTCTCCCATGAGAGAACTTTATTTCTCCTCTTCTCTATTGATTTCTTCAAAAGATCTTCAAATTTCAGGCCATTTGTCTTTATCAGTGTGCTCTGCAAAGAGTTCTTTCCTGAAATGGACTCAAGTTGTATTAGTCAGTAACATGCTAGATACTGTCATTTAAGTAACACACATATTTAATAACATTTTAGGAGGAAATGGCTTATTTAGAGCCTTATTGCCAAAATTTTAAGATACTTGCATTATTTAACCTTACAAATAGAACAGACTTGGAGGTGTGATTTCTCCTGAAATATTTTTAACTGGTCAAAATGAATAGTTAAAAATTAATTGTAATTGTATGGAGGGGTCAGGGGAGAGGTTCCTTTACTTGCTAACATTGTAGCGTTATTCTGCGTTCTTTGTAAACACCATTTTTAACTTTCTGGAAGCAAGCGTAGGATGTATATGCTGATTTACTTTGACATCGTTAAAAAAAATAATCTTACACTGGTTTAAAAAACAAAGCATCCACAATTGCACTATCTAGTGATTAAAAGAGATCCTTGGACAGCGGATCTGAGAACACATACCTTGTGTGAATGCTTTTAACGAAAAGAAAGAAGGTGTTTTCCATGTAATACTTTATTTCATAATTTGATGTCTATGCAGTAATTAACACAATGCTATCTTTGCACTGCAGATGAGTAGGTTTGTGTCTGGGGGATGTGCCATTGGATAGAATGCTGGGCCTGACCAAATCCTGGCAAGGCAGATCACACCTGGAAATAGGTTATCTAGGGTGAAGTCTTACAGCTGTTAACTCATTTCAGTGTCTGAGACCAGAAAACCCAAGCAAGACAGTTCACAATTTATAGCCACAGAACTACTGTGAAATTTATAAATATGCCCTGAATGATAGGAGACTGGGAAGACGAAGGAGTGAGTACTAGTTCATGGTGGGTTTGAAAGACGTGCTACTGTAAAAACAACTCTTTTTATTTAAAAAAAAAAAAAAAAAAGTTTGTAAATCTCACAAATGCCGAGGAAACTATAAAATATATTTATTTGCTTTTTCTAGATTTCCTTGTCTAGTATTGTGTTTTCTTGGTTTGGGCTTTTTTTTTTTTTTTTGCTGTTTATTGCACATACTTTCTCCCTCTTTTTACAGCACAAAAAAAATAGTCATAAGAATAGGATCCAATTACATAATGAAGGTTTAATCATAAAATAGTTTATGCACAAATTTCAGCTAAGTGCACAAAGTAAGGCTGAAATAAGAATTACTGTTTTTTCAGTACAGTTACCTTAAGTCATCATTAATAATAGTTGCCTAGAAGTATTATAGGGTAGTTATCTAGTTTTTGGTTTTGTTTTATTTTTGTGTGGTTTTTAGTCTAAAGATAAAAGAAAGGTGTTTATATTTAAAATAGAAGTTTAGGCATTTGAATTGTATGGAAAAACTTATTAGTAGTACACAAATATTTATTTGAGGTTCAATCTCAAAAATAATTAGAGATTTAGGAGAAAAATAATTTTACAATTACATTTTTTAGATGTGTATCATAGAAAGTACTCATTTAGCCTACTAATAATTTCCTGGGCTTTAGTTCTTTAAATTAAGCAGATTTATTTTCCTCTGCCAGTTGTTTGATGCCTGAATAACCAAGCTGATTTATCTATGTAAAGCACTAAACACAAGGAGAATGCATGTAGTTTCAAGAGAGGGTATATTTGCCTACAGCTTGCATCATGCAGTTTGTATGTCATACTTACTTTTTTTCTCCTATTCATTACAGAAACATATACAAGTATACATAACGATTTCTTTTTGCAGATTAACAGCAAGAAGAAAGAATCAGCATGGGAGATGACAAAAAGTTTGTACGATGCATGGTCAGGATGGCTGGTAGTCACACTAACTGGTTTGGCATCAGGTAAATTAAAAAACGGAGGTTATATTTCTTACCTTTGTCAGCAAGTATAGTTACTGTCCTTTCCATTTGTGCATTATTCACCAACCTGGGTAAGAGCTGGTTCAGACTACTACTGTAATGCCATGAGGGAAGGGAAAGGTTGATTATCTTGATTTACAGGCTTTATGTTTTTGCGGGCAGGGTTTACTTATCAAACAGAAACCAAAATCCTCACTGAATGTGTAGTGAGAGTTATTGAACTTCCACCTACGTTATTAATGTTCTTTAATCCTGTGATTGAGATTGGTGTTTTCCCTTTCTGTGAAATTCTGCTTTTTTCCTGTAGGATTTCTGGTGAAAGAGTATTCACTGATTGTGCTAGATGGTTTTTCTGCTGTGAATTTGGGTTTTGTTTGTTGGCCTCTACTTCAACTCTGTCTTTTCTTTTTAATGTATTTTAGGATGAGTTTTACAGCCAAAACTGTCTGAGAGTTTGTCACCCCACTGTCACGCAGTGCTGCTTTCTTTCAGCATAGTTTGGAGTGACCAAAATGTTCAAGAGTGAGAAGGCACAAACTTGGTGCCCAGTTTTCCCAAAAAAAGTATTTTGAACAGAGATCTTAGATTTAATGCTAGGAAAATCGGATTCATTGCAGAGTATGGCTATGCCTGTTAAAAAGGCATAGTAACTGTATAATTACTACTTAGATATATACATAATCACTTTCACAAACTGCATATAAATTAATATATACGCAAAGTTTGTAGCATGTTTATATACCTCTGAATGTACAAACTGGGAGTATATAATTACTGGAAATTGCTTGTGATAATTTGGGTGGGGACGTGCAGTGTTGTGTTTCCACCCCCCAAGCTGCTATGGATGTTAAAATTGCTTCACTGTGTTTCTCAGCAACAAAGCAAGCAAATTCTGGCCATGAACATTCCTAGGTTTTTCCGTTTCAGTTGCTTTCTGTTGTATGTGTCTCCTGAATCTTCAATGGTATGACCTTGATTTCAGTCATGGGGAGATCTTATGTTTATGTATTTTAATTAATTTAAATAATTTAAATTTTGTTCTACTGAGATACCGCCTTTGACTTTGACTTTGGTTGGCCCAGGATCTCAAACTGAGCGTCTGTCAAGATTAGTAAATATAAATTAGTGAATCGGAGGTAATTCTGTACTACCAACTTACACAAGTAAATGGTGGCGGTCTCTAGATAGCTATTTCTAGTAGTGATTAATACTCTAAAAATAGTTAATTATAACTAATTAACAGTTGTACATTTTCACAAAAATACTGACTTTAGAAGCAGTTTTTCAGTATACTGCTACCATGAAAAGCTATTTTGCTTTTGTAAAATAGAGGGTTTTTTTAAAGATTTTTTTTTTTAAATCCTTTGAAGCAATTTCGTAAGTAATGCTTATTTTTTGAGGGCTCTTCAGCAATTTCTCCATGTAGGTACAGTACAGAATCCCTCTTAAGATTTGAGTTTGTGAAGTGCTTAGTGTCCATACTGTTTCTTACCTGCAGTAGGAATTTTAAATGCTCACCATGTTACAGAATTAAGTCATTTTGTATACGGATTGATTACATGAATGTCATCAGGGTTTATTTGGCGTTTTATTTATGTTGCTCTAAAACTGTTGTTGGCAAGGTAAGAATTATTTTCTCCGTATGTGCTATTCTGTACAAAACATAGAATAGTTCATGAGCTCTCTGAGGCATGGCAAGGTAGTTTTGTCAGAAGGTCTATTATCTTTTTCATCACAAAAATGTGTCAGTCCAATTTTGACTCTAAAAGCCTTAGTTTCAACGGACTGTTGGAAATTGTGCTAAAGGAAAAAAGGGGGGAAAAAAAAGATGCATTTAACTTGGGAAATATGCAAGGTAGTATATTCTTCAGCAAATACTGATTGTACCGTATTGCAAATAGGATATATTCCTGGAAATCAGTAATACTTTAAATGTCTGTTTCTTTAGGTTTTCTGTAATTTCAATTTACGTGAATAAATACCAGCACATTTTTTAGTTGCATGTGTTATTCCTCTTTACCAGAATATTAATACAAAACTGTTTCTGCAACAGGGGCACTGGCGGGATTAATTGACATTGCTGCTGACTGGATGACTGACTTAAAGGAAGGCATTTGCCTTAGTGCTTTGTGGTTTAACCACGAACAGTGTTGTTGGGGTTCAAATGAGACCACATTTGAAGAGAGAGATAAATGTCCACAGTGGAAAACATGGGCAGAACTAATAATTGGGCAAGCAGAAGTAAGTATATACCCATTCTTTGACGATCTTGCTCAACAGCTGGACTGAACATGGAAAAAAAATAATGATCTTAAGGTTAGGGTACTAAACACAGATTTGGGTTGTGTTGTCTGCTCCATTTCTCAGGATTTGAATTGGTTAATAGGTTATACTGTAATAAATGTGCATTTCATGCACTGCAAGGGGGCTTGGAGTGTTGCAGGTATAAAGAAGTTATAAGAGTATAGAACTGTTAATAACAGGACAATTTCTATTCTTGATCATAGCTACATATAAAAGAATAAAAATGAAATCTGTGGTGTTCTCCAATAAATAAGAATAGATTGATTTTATTTTTTCTACTACGAAATTTTTTAAATAAAAAAGGTTTACTCAGTATTCAGTAGATTTTAGCAGCTAGTAGCTGTTAAAAATAATACCTGTGTTGTGTTCTATTTTTTCATTTTAAGATGAAGTGTTAGAACATTTTCTACCTTGTATAACCCAGTCTATGCTGATGTGCAGGTGTTGTGACTTTATGCTTTTCAAACAAAACTTTCTTTCTTGGCTTGGTAATAATTACTGTCCTTCAAAACGTGTGCATAAGTGTACTTGCAGCAAGAGTACTTCTGGGTTATTTTAAGTAGTGATTTTGCTCCTAAATAGAATTTATATTCTGAATTTTTTCTTTGGTTTTTGCTTTTAGGGTCCAGGTTCATATATAATGAACTACATAATGTACATTTTCTGGGCTTTGAGCTTTGCCTTCTTAGCAGTTTCTCTGGTGAAGGTATTTGCTCCCTATGCCTGCGGCTCGGGGATACCTGAGGTGAGGTCTAACTCATGTATACATTGTAGATGTTTCATATTAATGTGAAAATTCCTGCTGCCTTACAGGGTCAGGGGAAGGCAAGAGGGTGCACCCTTTGACTTTCATGAAATGCATTAATACAAGTATTCAAACTGAAATAATGTAATTGTGTGCATTTGTTGCTGAGAAAAATGCCCCAAATTTCAGAGAATCTCCTGATTTGTAGATTTTGCTGCACACTTCTGGCTGGACTACTTTTTAAGGAAGCATTTGTCTTAAGAGTGTAGACTTCTGCAGAGTGATTTCCAACCTGCCCCTAATCCCCACCCTCCCTATGGTGATAAGAAGGCGGGTGTTCGTTGACAGAATACGGGTCCTTTGATACAGCAATTGATCTTATGTTGCACTGGCTTTAATCGCCTTAACTAACACAAACCATCAGACAGTCACAAAGTAAAATGTGTACTTTCCTCAAAAACTCACTGTTTTTACAATTGCTGTCTGCTGCTATACACAGAATGGGAGGGAAAAACCCCCAAGTCGAAGTCTGGTCAGTCTCACTTCTCCAGTCATTCTGTAAATATTTCTTTGCTGTGTGTATTGTAGAAGTTGAAGGACAGAGCCAGATCCTGCCTCTGAATAAGCCTGGAGTAGTTCTGTGCCATTATTCCAGAAGAGATTTCATCCTAAATTAGTTGCCAAATTTAGCTAACCTTTACTTTCTAGACACAGCTGCCCAGTGTTTTGTGTACATCCTATTTATAGACTTGTTGTCCTTTCCTATGATAACTATATTATTTCCTATATATGGGCATATTTTCCAGGCTAATAATATGACACTGTTGAGCAAAGTAATACCTTAGGTAAGTGGCACATCTTTTCTAGTGGAAAAAGGCTGATCTTTCCCATTTTTATGTCAAGGAATGTACTGCTAATTTTTTATGTAGACATGGTAAAACATACGGAGAAAACAGACGTGTAAAATTAGTGCAAATATGATATTGCTACAGTGGATGACCTTGAGTATAGTTTTTGCAGGTTCATTTTTCCTTTGGGAGTTTTCTGACTTTCACTTGATAATTTACATCATAAACCAATGAGTGCAGTCTCAGAAGCTACTGCAGATTAATTATCTACTAAATGTCATTGATAATGTTGTTGTATGTTATTGCCCAGTGGTTTAGAGTAAGTTGCAAATGGAAAGCCTCTAGCAACCAAATAGACTCAGTGCAGCAATCTAAACAATACACGCTTTAAAGTGTGATAAAATTAGTCATTTGATAAGGATATTTTTTAAGTTATGCAGCTAAAATTATAAAATTATTTTCTGAGAAAAGCTGAATACTATAACGGATAATATTTTTTCTTTCTTCCAGATAAAAACTATTTTGAGTGGCTTCATCATTAGAGGTTACTTGGGGAAGTGGACTTTGATGATAAAAACAATTACTCTGGTCTTGGCTGTCGCATCGGGTTTGAGTTTAGGAAAAGAGGGCCCCTTGGTACATGTTGCCTGCTGCTGTGGGAATATTTTTTCCTACCTCTTTCCAAAGTACAGCACAAATGAAGCTAAAAAAAGAGAGGTAGGTTCTTGTAAAAGCATTTCTAGAATGTACTGAATAGCCACGCATTTACACTCTTCTGTTTAAAAGATGGTATTTGTTCTCTCGGACAGTGTTTAGCCTTGGATTATCAATAGTCATTTATTGTGTTAATAACAATGTATTATCCCTAGCATTCTCCAAAGCAAATTGTTTCCATGTCAGAGTAAGTTTGCATTTCTCCCACCTCAGAGACCATTTGATTTTACTTAAATTCTTTCTCTTCTTGACTCTACTTGTTGGTAATTGAGAAGTGTCTTCAGTTGTGAAGATAGCAGAGGACTTTTGAACCTGTGAGCAATGTATTCCTGGAAAAGGGTTGATGACAGCAGTGTTTCTGCTCTACTCAGTTTGTTGTTGTTAGTGAGACTGTGGTGAGTTAGCCTTGGTGCCCACCAAGCTGCTCTCTCACCCCTCCTCCTCAGCAAGAGAGCAGGAGAAAATAAGATGAAAAGCTCGTAAGTCAAGATAAGGACAGGGAGATCGCTCACCAGTTACCATCACAGGCAAAAGACTAGACTTGAGCAAGATTACTTTATTGCCAATTAATAACAGACTAGGATAGTGAGAAATAAAAACAACTAAAACTACCTTGCCCCCACTCTCCCTCCTTCCCAGGCTCAACTTCACTCCTCGTTCTTCTATCCCAAAGCGGCACCAGGGGATGGGGAATGGGGGCTGCAGTCAGTTTGTAATGCTTTGTCTCCACCGCTCCTTCTTCCTCGTGCTCTTCCCATGCACCAGTGTGGGGTCCCACCCATGGGAGACAGGCCTTCTCAAGCTCCTTCAGCATGGGTTCTTTCCCCAGGGTGCAGTCCTTCAGGAACAGACTGCCCCAGCCTGGATTCCCCACAGGCTTTCACAGTTTCCTGCCAGAAAAGCTGCTCCTATTTGGGCTCCTCTCGGCAGGCCACGGCTCCTGCCAGGAGCCTGCTCTGGTGTGGGCTTTCCATGGGCTGTAGCTATCTTCAGGGCACATCTACCTGCTTTGGCTTGGGGTCCGCTGCAGGGTGGAGATCTGCTCTGCCATGGTCCTCCATGGGCTACAGGGGAACAACTTGCATCACTACGGCCTTCTACACAGGCTGCAGGTCAACCTGTGCTCTGGTGCCTGGAGCACCTCCTCCCTGTCCTTCTTCACTGACCTTGGTGTCTGCAGGGCTGTTCCTCTCACATTTTTCTCACTCCTCTCTCTCACAGCTGCTGTGCACTGTTTTTTGCCCTTTCTTAAGTATCTTATCATAGAGGCACCACCAGCATCACTGACGGGCTCAGCTTTGGGCGGTGGCGGGTCCCTTTTGGATCCAGCTGGAACTGGCTCTGTTGGATGTGGGGGCAGCCTCTGGTGTCTTCTCACAGAAGCTACCCCAGCAGCCCCCCCCCGCTACCAAAACCTTGTCACGTAAACCCAATAGAGGGAGCCATGCTAATGAAAGCAATTATAGTCAGAGAGTAGCAAGTTCTAACATTCTTATTAATTCAATAAAATTTTCATATTGTAAAATAAAAAAGGTGTTGTCCCAGCTGTGCTTCAGCTCTCAGGCTTAACTTCTATACTTCTAGAAGGAGACTGCAGAACATGGGAAATTTGGGTTCACTTCCTATTTCAAAGCTGTGTATTCTTAAATCATTTAGCTTACCTGTGGTTTAGCTGCTTATTTCACAATAAGGTAATAATTCTTCCACAGGTGCGTAAGGGTTACTACTTGGGGATCAGGTAGGAAGGAAGGAATTCCTGCAAGGAATTTGTCCCATATTGTTATAATTACCATGCACTGTAACCATCCCCATATATTGAACATAATTCATCCATGATACTGTAGGACCAACTGCTGCTTTGGTTCCTCTTATGCTCGCCCTTAATCTCAGTTCACCTCGGATCATTTTGCAAGTTTTTGCTTGAAGACTACTGAGCACAAATCTTCAGGACTGATACAAAAGTTACATAGTCTGTCATCAATTTATGTCCCTTGAATAATATTTGTGATTTATGGGCTTCGCCGCTGCACACATCTAGAAGAGAAGAGAATATTTCAGTTGGAAGGGACCTACAATGATCATAGAGTCCAACTGCTTTGCGAATTTGGGGCTGACCAAAAGTTAAAGCATGTTTTTTAAGGGCATTGTCCAAATGCCTCTTAAACATTGACATGCTTGAGGCATCAACAGCCTCTCTAGGAAGTCTGTTCCAGTGTTTGGCCACCCCCTCTATAAATAAATGCTTCCTAATGTCCAATCTAAACCTTCCCTGGCATAGCTTTGAACCATTCCCATGCGTCCTATTACTGGATACCAGGTAGAAGAGATCAGCACCTCCCGCTCCACTTCCCCTCCTCAGGAAGGTTTAGCAAGGAATGAGGTCACCCCTCAGCCTCCTTTTCTCCAAACTAGATAAGCCCAAAGACCTTAGCCGCTCCTCATAGGACATGCCTTCCAGCCTTGTTGCGTTCCTCTGGATGCTTTCAAGTACCTTCACATCCTTCATAACTTGTGGGGCCCAGAACTGCACACAGTACTCAAGGTGAGGCCATGCCACCGCTGAATACAGCGGTATAATCACCTCTTTTGAGCGGCTGACTATGCTGTGTTTGATGAACCCCCATGATGCAGTTTGCCGCCTTGGCTGCCAGGGCACCCTGCTGACTCATACTGAGCCTGCTGTCAACCAGCACCCCCAGGTCCCTTTCTGCAGGGCTGCTCTCCAGCCACTCTTCTCCCAGTTTATACTTGTGCCCAGTGTTGCTCCATCCTAGGTGCAGAATCCGGCATTTCAACTTGTTAAAATTTATCCCGTTAATCATTGCCCAATAGCTCCAGTCTATCTAGATCCCTCTGCAAGGCCTCCTGTCCCTCAGGAAAGTCAACAGCACCTCCCAGTTTGGTGTCATCAGCAAACCTGCTAATGGTGCATTCAACTCCTGCATCCTGAACGTTGATAAATACATTGAACAGAACTGGCCCTAGAATTGAACCCTGAGGAACACCGCTGGTGACCAGTCACCAACCAGATGAAGACCCATTCACCAAATCACAGAATCACAGAATGATAGGGGCTGGAAGGGACCTCTCGAGATCATCTAGTCCAACCCCGCTGCCAGAGCAGGTACACCTGGAGCAGGCTGCACAGGATGCCATCCAGGCGGGTTTTGAATGTTTCCGGAGGCGGAGGCTCCACAGCCTCTCTGGGCAGCCTGTTCCAGTGCTCTGCCACCCTCAAAGTAAAGAAGTTCCTCCTCATGTTTAGGTGGAACTTCCTACGTTCAGGTTTGTGTCCATTACCTCTTGTCCTGTCACTGGGCACCACTGAAAAAAGACTGTTCTCATCCCCCTGGCACCCTCCCTTTAAGTATTCATAAGCATTGATAAAATCCCCCCTCGGTCTTCTCCCGACTAGAAAGACCCAAGTTCTTCAGCCTTTCCTCATGAGAAAGATGTCCCCTAATCATCTTTGTAGCCCTTTGCTATACCCTCTCCAGCAGTTCCTTGTCTTTCTTGAATTGGGGAGCCCAGAACTGGACACAATACTCCAGATGCAGCCTCACCAGGGCAGAGTAGAGGTGGAACATAACCTCCCTCGACCTGCTGGCCACACTCTTCTTGATGCACCCCAGGATGCCACTGGCCTTCTTGGCCACCAGGGCACATTGCTGGCTCATGGTCATCCTGTTGTCCACCAGGACTCCTAGGTCCCTTTCACTACAACCCTTTGAGCCATTCAGCCAGTTCTTCACCCGGCACACTCTGAACCCAGTCATCCTGCAGTTGGTCAACTTGTCCAGAAGAATGCTGTGAGGGACTAAAGCCTTACTAAAATCCAGAAAAACTGCATCCACCACCTTCCCTTCATCCACTACGCAGGTGACCTTATCATAGAGGAATATCGGATTAGTTAAACAGGACTTTCCCTTTGTGAACCTGTGTTGACTGGGCCTGATGATTGCATTATTCTTTAAATGCCTTTCAATAGCACCCGGTATAATCTTCTCTATGTTTTTTCCAGGAACTGAGGTTAGGCTATGTGTAGTTCCTGGGGCTTCTCTTGCGTCCTTCTTGTAAATTGGAATAACATTGGCTAGTGTCCAGTCAGCAGGGACCCCCTCAGACTCCCAAGACCTTTGGCAGATGATCGAGAGGGGTCCTATCATAACATCTGCTAGCTCCTTCAGTACTTTGGGATGAATCCCATCAGGCCCCACGGACTTGTGAACATTCAGCTGATGCAGCCGGTCCCTTACAATTTCAATGTCTACAAATGGAAAGTCACTGTTCCCACACTTGTGGTCCTCCGACTCAGAGGACCAGGCAGCCCAAGGTCTATCAGAATTATTAAAGACTGAGGCAAAAAATACATTGAATGCCTCCACTTTTTCCTCATGCCTATTAGTCAGATGACCGTCTTCAACAAGTATTGGTCCAATGTTTTCTTGAGACCTCCTCTTGCTAGTAACACACTTGAAAAAGCCCTTCTTGTTATCTGACATGACACTGGCTGGTTTCAACTCTAATTGAGCTTTGGTCTTGTGTGTCTTCTCCGTCCATATAGGTACCACAGCTCTGTAATCTTCCTGCAAAGCCTGACTTTGCTTCCAGAGATCATACAATTTCTCTTCCCTCTTGAACTCCGCAAGGAGTTCCCTGTTTAGCCAAGCTGGTCTTCTGCCTCGCTTGCTTTACTTATGACACAGTGGAATCTCCTGCTTGAGCATAGAGAAAGCTTGCTACAATTTCGTGAAAATGAGATATCAGCAGTTTCATACTGAAGCATAGACTCCTTTGGGTGCTTCACTGGGGAGCAGTGTCCTTGGCTGTGTCATGGCTAGTAGCTGGTTGGTGGCTGCTGTGGCCACTGGCCGCATCTTACAAGCATTCTGATACACTTACGTGATGCTTTTCTGTTAGCAGGTCTGTGTGTCCTTGATAGAAACATAAAAGACAGATCACTGTAATGAGATTCTGTACTTCATGTTTAACGCGTATCACAGACAGCAAAAAACCCCTCTCGCCATTGTTCTTTTCCAGGTGTTGTCAGCTGCTTCAGCAGCAGGAGTATCTGTAGCCTTTGGTGCCCCAATTGGTGGAGTCCTTTTTAGCCTGGAGGAGGTATGTCAAGAGATGGCACTGAAGGATAGATATCAAGAAATATATATCTTTTAGCATGAAAAATCTCTGATTCCTTTAAGCTGCGGAGTCCTTCCTAAGAAGGAAATTATTTTTGGACCCACATTTCAAAGTCAAGAGTCCTGTTACTGGCAAACTCCTAAAGACATTTTTTCTTTTTATTTGGATGAATGTCAGCTCTGCTTTATTCTCAGTTACGTTTTTCTGGAGAACGGCTGAGTCAGTTAATAATTACGGTTTATATACAGATAGAGATACAGCAGTTTTTCACTCTAGGAGTGTATCTGAAAAAAGAAAGCCTGGTTATTTTTTTTCTTTTAATCTTGAAAGAGGTTTTAGAAACCTATTTGTCAGTTTTGTGAAGGAAGTTTTTCAACGTTACTTTTCTTCATAACAAGTTTCAGACACTAAACACAGTTGAATAAGTTAATTATGAAAAAGGCAAATATGCTATAAAACTGACCTCTAAGGCAACAAAACTGTCTTCTCCAAGAAATGTTTTGTTTTAAATTAGTTTTCATTAGTTGTTTTCAAACTAAATAAGAATATTATTTAGAACATTAGGATTTCTAAAGAAATATAAAAATTTCTGAAATTGTAAAAGGAAGCAAAATACTTTTTCATGTAATAATTTTGCTGTATCATTAGGGTATTTTGAGGAACTCCTTTGTTGCCAAAAGAATTCCAAAAAAGCTCTGAAGAAAACTATCTTGAAATTCAAATCAGGCTGTCTGGGGCTTAAGTATGAAATTGCATGTTCTGTTTTGGGGATTTTTTTTAACATTTTAATCATGCTTCATAAAAATAACGCATCTGCCAGAAACCTTTCCGTGTAGGTTGAATGGAGATAAAACAGCATTAGCAGGAAATTTGAGAGAGCAGCTAGTACGCAGTCTGGTTTTTAGGAATGATAGGTGCTTAGAAACAGAGAAGCTTTTAAACATAAATTACTACGCATTATTTCCTAACAATCTGAAAAAAGTAGTGATTTCGATACTGCGTTAGTCCTGACTCTAAAATTGATATAAGTATTAATTGTTGTAGAGCTTTATAAAAATGTAGTCTGTGCTGGAGCAGCAGTGCTTGAAGGAATAGGAGTAATAATGTAAGAGTACTTTGTTTTAGCATATACCATGGGAGCGGCAGTACTGTAACACATGCATAAAACAGTCTTAGCAGTATTTTTAATGGAACCAGTAATAATTCCCTTGTATTGTCTTTTGCAGGTCAGTTACTATTTCCCACTGAAGACTTTATGGAGATCATTTTTTGCTGCGTTAGTAGCTGCATTTGTTCTAAGGTCCATCAATCCTTTTGGTAATAGCCGCCTAGTTCTTTTTTATGTGGAATATCACACTCCTTGGTACCTTTTTGAACTGCTTCCTTTTATTCTTCTGGGAGTATTTGGTGGGCTCTGGGGAGCATTTTTCATCCGAGCAAACATCGCATGGTGTCGTCGACGCAAATCTACAAAATTTGGGAAGTATCCTGTCCTGGAAGTTATTATTGTTGCAGCAATAACAGCTGTCATTGCATTTCCTAATCCATATACAAGGCTAAACACCAGTGAGCTTATTAAAGAGCTCTTCACAGACTGTGGGCCGTTAGAATCCTCCTCCCTTTGTGACTACAGAAATGATATGAACGCGAGCAAAATAGTAGATGATATTCCTGACCGTCCAGCAGGCACTGGAGTCTATTCAGCTATATGGCAGTTGTGTTTAGCACTCATATTTAAAATAATCATGACAGTCTTCACTTTTGGTATCAAGGTAAGCGCGAATGCAGTGGCTGCATTCTGCTGTCATTATTTAATTATTGCCTTTCTCATTTTCCATCTCTCTAAGCTAGCAGCTTTGTTTATAGAACTTTTTTTCATGTGTAGTTCTTTTTTAAAAAAGGTCTTTTTACTGTTGATTAATAAGCAAGTCTTGTGGAAAACAATGTTAAGTTTAATTAAATTCAAAGTAGTCCTCTGTTCAGCTGAACAGAAATGTGCTAAATTTAATAGGGGATGGTAACTGTGTGGATGGATGGCTGTTTGTATGGGCCCGCATCAGAAATAAGGATGATTCTAAAATTTCCAAGAGCTAAGTTCAGCTGAGTTCAAACATAACTACTCAGGTTCCCTAGTCCTGTTACACGGAAGAGGACAAGACTGTACCTCTTAAACAGCTTGTAGGGTTTTTTTTTTAATCCTCTCTCCCAATTTAGCGCATAAATGCCATTACTGCAGACTGTCAAAGGGGGCCATTGATAATTTATTTCCTGAAATTTCCAGTATTGTATGTCATGACTAGAAAGCAAGCTTTGTTCATGTGACTGTAATGAGAATTTCTTCTCTATTACAAAGCAGCATAATTTTTGTCTTTCCTGGTCATTTTGTAAATCTGGTTTGGAGCTCTCTTCAGCTTCTCTCCAACCTGTGGCTGTTTTCTGAATGACGTATAACTGTCATGCCTTCATCATTTTCTGTCTTGTCAGGCTCCCTTCATAGTTTTTTGCAACCACATCATTATCAAATGCGTCTTAACACAAACGTATTGTAGAATGTTCACTAAGCGGGATTTGTGTTTAAACTGGGTTTAACTTCTCAGTCTACATTGCTCTTGCATGTGACTTCATGCATAAGAAAACACTTACTTAGTGTGAGGGCGGTTGAACACTGGAATAGTTTGTCCAGAGAACTTGTGGAGTCTCCGTCCTTGGAGATACTCAAAACCTGACTGGATGCAATCCTGGGCAAGCTGCTGTAGTTGACCCTGCTTGAGCAGAGGTGTTGCACTAGACAGTGTGGAGTGGTCATGTCCAACCTCAACCATTCTGTCATGAGAAAACAATATTGTTTTGTGTTTCTCATGTGTTGATATTTTAGAAGATGTTGCAGTCTGTTGTTTGAAGTTATTTCCCGTATATTGGTTGATGGGTAAGAGAAATGTGTTGTGTATGTTTTAAATACTAGTCTTCCATAGGTCAGAATTCAGGCATTATCCTATGACATGACCATTCCAATGTGTTGTATTTACTTTCTGTATTTCACTTACAACTAGGGCTCTGCCCTTCTAAGCATTATAACATTCCTTACCGTTCATGCAGTCGTGGGCATCTACCTTTTTATCATGGGATTGCCACCATGGGATTCCCGCCGCTCTTACTGCCAGGAACAAGGATCACCAGGAAGCTGATAGGGCAGTGGTTTGAGGGGTTTGGTTTTGTTTATTTGTTGGGGGGGTGGGGGTGGGTGTTGTTGTTTTTTGGTTTTGTTTTCTTTCAGGCTTTTGTATGTATACTGTACTGCTTATTATCAGTAGACTCATTTCTGTGTCTAAATGCTGATGATAAACAATTGAGGTGGGATTACAGCTTTGCCTCTGAACCTGACTGGTGTGCAGCTGCGCTACCGAAGAAAGTTGCACCTGTATCCTGATTCCTTGTTTCAAAGGTGATACATGTGCCACAGAACAAATGATTTCCTCTCTGGTATAACTTGAGTTAGGCTGGCGTGCTCTGGAGAAGAAAGCTGAGACAAGGTGGAACCTAACTTTTTTTCCTTGTTCCTTCTCAGTGAAGGTTTCTCTCCTCTTTGTGACTTGTGATTCAGAGGCTTATGCAAACGAATGCAGCTGGAAAATCATAATTACAATTAGACTTGTAACCATTATCCATATGTGATGGAAAGAAGAGAAGGAGCTAGATGCATAAAAAGGTTATGTTAACAAAGGACCAGAAAAAATTTGGATGTAATTCCCATGTGGAGACTGAATTTCAGTGGCATACTGCTGTAGCAGACTGCAATCTGAGGCAGTTTCAAAGATTTATTCAATTACTTTTGTATCTGAAATGTTATTTTTTCAGGGTGCTATTGAACTGTTCAGCAAGAAGGAATTTCATTCAGGAAAAAAAAGATAGATTTTAACAGTTGGAACAGGGTTTACACACATGATTGATTGTGGGAAACAACAGTAGTGGTATAAATGCATAATTTGGGTACTACGGTAAAATGACAACATTGAATAGTTACCTCTAGCAACACTGAAATATTGGGTAATTCAGGATGGGAATGAAGGCTTATTAAATTTTTGCCCCAAACCTATGCTGCTGGCTTTCAAACACAAAGTTTGCTACGTTTGTTTGTCCTTGGTTTGTCTATTAGAAATAATCTTTGCAACCATAAATACTGGCGATATAATAATAACAGATTCTGAAATACAATTCTGCACCAGCTATTGGATTCTGTGGCAAAATTTATAGTTTGGAATTGCACAATACTTACATTTCACAGCTGTACAGTGGAAAAAAAAATCAAATTATGTGTCCTGTTATACCAGGAGTGCATTTTTTTAATGAAGTTATTTTGACAAGATGGGTTTAGGTCCATTTAGACAAAACAGTGAAAACTACTACTTATTTGTAGTCGGATCTGTAACTGAGTCACAGCAGAAAATACTTTGATCCTAACAACTGCTGTGTGGAGAAGCAGCGCACATTTCCAGTTTAATGAGACATTTAGACACCAGTATGTTTCTTGGAAAGAAGATTAGCTTCCGAAGGAGGAGAAAAGATACACAGCAGCAGTTTCTCAGATGAACCCTCACTCCTTATGAAGCTGCTGATAAAAGCAAGACTCATAATCATATTTTACCAAGCTATGTTGGTGTGACAAGGCTGTGTGGCCTTTTCAGGTTTTAGTTAATAACAGAAAAACAGTTTAAATAACTAAGATTACAGTAGGAACTTTTTTTTACAGTAATGTGTTACCTACTTTTTGCAACGGGAGTTGTCCTGCCTTTTTCTCTCTTAGTGTATTTAGCATTCTATATACACTCCTTTGTATGGGAAACTGCAATATAATAAGCAAAGCCTCTTTCAAAAATCATCTGTTTAATTGGCCGTCTAATTTATAGCAGTATTAGGAAGCGGTTTGGGAAGGCAGTCCTATGTGCAAAGCTTGTTTAGTAAGTGAGTGTTAACTCAGAGGAACATGAAGTGAGAAAGGAGATGGGAAATCATAAGGAAGACTTTTCAGTACTCGTAACACAGCTCAGATTGGACACACACGTGGGAAGAATTGTGCTGTTGGCACTGAGAGTCTGTTTTGTGGTGCTGTATTGGTGATAGACTTGCTCTTAAATACAGTAGAATATAAATAAGTGTGCTCATAAAATGGATTCGGCTAACCAGGTTGATCAGAGGTATGAATAGCATTGTGTTAAGTTTCACTAACCTTGCAATGTCAATTTACATGGTTTTAACATGACAATTTGAGCATTTGCATCTCTTTTTGGGAAAAAAAAAAAAAAGATTACTTGCAAAATTATGCATCAGGTATGTTCTCATCAGCATGACAGCAGGTTTTCTGGTTTTGTTGCAGGTTCCCTCTGGGTTGTTCATCCCTAGTATGGCAATCGGAGCAATAGCAGGAAGGATTGTAGGAATTGCGGTGGAGCAGCTGGCTTACTACCATCACGACTGGTTCATTTTCAAGGAGTGGTGTGAAGTTGGAGCTGACTGTATTACACCTGGTCTTTATGCCATGGTTGGTGCTGCTGCATGCTTAGGTAACTAAAATATAACAAAGTAAATAAGTATCTGATTTATTGTATGTTTCAAAAATAATGATTAAAACTGAAGGGAGATAGAAACCTGCGTTTTGGAACACCTTTTTATGTGGATTTCTCTCTCTTCAGCGTACTACATTCACATCTCTACACAAGACTGTCAGATCCTTGTGACTGAGGAATAATGTGAAATTTAATTGACTATATGATGAGAAAAAGAAGAATTTAAATAGGAGTGTTTGCTTTCTCTTTTTGGCATCAAGAGGTGTCATTACTACATCAGTCAGAAAAATCTGTTTCTTGAATGTATAAAGTAGAGGATTTGCAGAGTCAAGTACTGTTGAAATTATTACAAGGAGGTGATGTGATGAGCTGCCACGTCTACATGAATTGCAAAAAATGTACTTGAAATTCATAATCCAAACAAAACTTTCAGAAGTGTCTTATGATTTGGGGAATCCAGCTTGAGGTATTTTTAACAAGTCTGATACACAAACTGTTGAAAAGCAGCTTCATGGAGAGAGGCTTAAGTTGGGCACCTAAACTAGGAGAGGCTTTTTGAAGGCCTTGTCTTGTCCTAGCTTACCACTTTATTGCCTTAGAAATTAAGCTTAAAAGCTATTAGTGCAGATTCTGCGAAAAGTAGAAAAAAGTTTTCTTAAGGAAAAGCGCATTTGAATGATCAAATAAGCTAGTGGTACCGATTTAGTTTTTAGAGAGATTGTTTTGGTTTTTAATAGTTCATCTTGAATCACTTCTGAATGCATTGAAAGAAATACTATATTCTTTTATTGAATGAAGATATAGCATCAGAAACCTTGGCAGAAAAAACATTTTGAATACTAACAAAAGAGAAATATAACACCTGTCTTCTCCCATTGTCCAAGAAAGAGATTTCTTTTCATCAGCTCAGAATTGTCTTAAGCTTTTATGATTCAGCAACAACATTAAATTCCTAATTCTTTGGACAATATAGGTGTTGAACTGCCACCTGTGACTTCCCTGCATTAGTTTCATTCTTTTTCCAAATTTTTGTCTTACTGGATTTCCTTGCATTTCACAGTATTTTTAACCTAGGTGTGGTGTGGAGAAATACAGAGTTTGATTCTTAGTTTACATGAAATAACTGCACGTATTTTTCAAATCCCTTTATTCTCTCACTTTCTAGAAATTTTCCCTCAAGCTGTCTTTTTTTACTTCTGAAAGTTTTGAGTTCATTTTTCCTGTCTGCTTCTGTTTGTATTACACAGAATGATGTTTGTCAGATTACCTTTAATGGCACAGTCACGTTTGCAGTTCTCAACAGGAAGGCAGGAAATTCTAAATTCGTTGTTATCTGATACTAGAATGTTACTGGCTACCATTTTTCTTGCAGGTGGTGTGACAAGGATGACTGTGTCCCTGGTAGTTATTGTCTTTGAGCTAACAGGAGGGCTGGAATATATTGTGCCCCTAATGGCTGCAGTGATGACCAGTAAGTGGGTAGGAGATGCCTTTGGTAGGGAAGGCATCTACGAGGCACACATCCGACTGAACGGATATCCTTTCTTGGATGCAAAGGAAGAATTTACTCACACGACACTGGCTGCTGATGTTATGAGACCTCGAAGAAGCGACCCGCCTTTAGCAGTTCTGACACAGGATAATATGACAGTCGAAGACATAGAAAACTTGATCAACGAAACCAGCTATAATGGTTTTCCTGTTATTATGTCAAAAGAATCGCAGAGACTGGTGGGCTTTGCTCTAAGAAGAGATTTAACTATTGCAATAGGTAATTATCTTCCAGTATTGCATGATTATATATGCCGATTTAAATGATTCTATAGCTTGCAACAGAATTTACTCTGTGTTTCTAGACTTATTTCAGGTTCAGATACCTCGCACAGGCTGGCTATTCCTTTATTGAAGTATATGATTATCTTCACTAGCAGGCTCTGAAATGGAGAAAACGTTAGTCTCTGTCTCTGTCATAAAAACAAAAGTTGTCATAATGAAGTAGGCCCAAACATCATCTAATTGGTATTTGTGTTTGTTTTGAGACTTTTGCTAGTATCTCTTGTCCTCAAGTGACGCTACATTAACATTCTTCAAAATGGAGTAATTCTTATTTCAGAAGAGCAGGATTCTGTGAGAATTACTCTCCAAGTAATTTTTAAATTTAAATTTAAATGTATCTCGCATTTCTCTCTGACAGTATGTTGTTGACTGTTGTTGCAACAGTTGTAACAACTAAGACTGTATTATGGAGAGATAAGCAAAATATTAATTATTTTAGGTTTCTGTTTTTCAATTTGTTTGTGTAATGGGAAATTTGGCCCTGGGCACAGGAGCACACAAGCCCTGTTCGGGCCCTCTCTCGCTGGGTGAGTATTATAACTTGTGTGACAGCAGTGCTTTGTGCACTGGCAAGAAAAAATTTCTGGGTTTTGAGGATGTTATCATAACCAAAGGAAAAAAAAAATTCATTGTTATGTAATAAATTGTTACAAAACTGTAACATTGGGTGCATGAAATCAAAGGTGGAAGTTGCATCTTAAACTACTTTTTCTTTCTTAATTCATAAGATTGTACATGGAGAAGTATCTCTAACAAAGACACTTAAGAAAGAGACACAAAAGTCTCCTGAAACTTGAAAAAAATAGTTTTGTGAACACAACACTATTTACATCAGTAAAACTTTTGCCTGTGGTCCTAATACTGTGTATACTATGGTATTACACTATGTTGGACGTATAGGAATGTCCAAAACTTGGAAATTATTATAGATATCAGATTGGTTTCAGTTCGCATTTACTTAAGAGTAAATGGGGGAAGAGCATAACATTCTTCCAATAATGCACTTCCACAGGTAAGATTTATTTCAGCTGCTGGTTGCAGGTTGCTTAGTCTTGGATTTTGGCTGGCTTAAGAGAGTCATTGTGTGAAATAGTCCAGGGTACAGGGGGTGATGCTGTTGTCACTAAGGTGATAAAGACATGAAAAGGAAGAGGATCCAGTTCACAAAAAGCTACGTAAATTAATTATAAATGAGACGTCAACATTTTCAGTGTGGTCAGAAATGAGTTCTTTGGTTTCAAACCAACAGTAATTCCACCTGTTGGAATCGTGACAGGGGAACTGTCAATTTGAGATTGCCTTTCCGCTTGACAGTTTCTTCAGCAGCCGCCTATGTGCTTCCTGCCTGTTATTTTTTTTAAGTCTTTCCACCCCTTTATAGTAAATAAAAGCTATTTATTGGAGTGAGAAGGGTAGTAGCTGAATAACAGCTAAGCTGTATGGTAGATGGCTTTTGTGATTTCCGCACAAGCGCGTCTTAGGGATAAAGGAGTGGCTATGGAAACACATCAAAATAGCATTTATTAGACTGTCAGCATGTAGAGAAGAGCATCGGAGTCTGGTAGTGTTGATTGATCTGTCTGTTTGCACTGAATTATCTTGTTCCAAGAATGTAAATTCTTCCTCCTCTGCCGTTTTCCCCCTCCCCTCTTTTTCTTAAAGAAAGCGCTAGAAAGAAGCAGGAGGGGATTGTTGGCAGTTCCAGGGTCTGTTTTGCCCAGCATACCCCATCGCTTCCAGCCGAAAGCCCTCGACCTTTGAAGCTTAGAAGCATACTTGATATGAGCCCTTTCACCGTGACAGACCACACACCAATGGAAATAGTGGTGGATATTTTCCGGAAGCTGGGTCTGAGGCAGTGCCTTGTTACACACAACGGGTGAGTAAAGTGGCGGCGATGCTGCTCATCTTGTTAGATACAGGAATCTTCACTTCCAGGAATCAGAGTATTTGAACCAGGATATATTCCAGGATTCATGGTATTTGACCCCATAAGTTTGGTACTGCAACTGAGGACCCAAACTGTTTGTTAAGAAGCTGCTGTGCTGTGGCAGTTCTCTTAAATTCTTACTCCTCCCTTGTATTCCAAGCAAGCAATCAGGTTATTTCAGGCATTTTAAGACGTTCTGTTAAAAATTAGCTCTCATTCAGCGAGTTTTATGTGTGCAACTTGCACGTGGAGGAGATGCAACTCGTCTAGCAGAAACTTAGTCTTGTGTGGTGCACAGTCTGTGTTTCCTCGTTCTTATATATGTATGTTCTGGCAATGTGCAACCTCCCAGCTATTGAACATCTACAAATATCTGGGTTCATAAAAAGTAAGGGAGCAAATGATCCAGTCAATATCTCCTCTCCTGGAGTTTAGTGATGGCGATTACCACCAAGCTCTTGGTTTTGGAATACTAACAACTAAGTAACTGCTACTAGTTCTCAATCTGCAACTTTTGTTTCTACACTTCAAAATATTTCAAGAAAGTAATTTTAAGATTTGGAATGTTTGTGAATGAGACTACAGGCAATTGTCATGTGATTACCCACTAAATAAATCAGCCCTAGGCACGGAGACATAAATGTTCATTATAATTGCCTCTTATCTAAACTATTCCTTTTTTTTACATGATCTTTTTCTATGTAGCTGTTCCTTTAACATTCTGCTTTCCTGTATCTCTTGCGTTAAGCACTTGACACACAACATTGCAGCTCCTACCATAGTATCTTGCTTTCTCTTTAGCATGTCTTTTAAGGCACCTGGGGAGTGAAACATTGTCTGCTAATCCCCTTTATTTAGGATCAGTGTCCATGGGACAAAACCCAAGAAACCTGAAATATGGGCGGGACTTTCTTTGTTTTGCTGTGGGCTAAAGAACTGCTGCTATAAGTGGCAAATATTTAAATACCGCATTGCTTTCCAAGTTTACTTTTCCAGATGTATTTTAAAACAGATTCGTTTTAAATGTTCTGCTTTTTTGTTTTTCCTTCAATGCATCCCTGTTTTGAACAGCGAGTAGATGTTTTCGGAAGCATAAATTATTTTAAAAACCTTTCTCTGATGGGGAAAGGACGTCATGATCTGACACTTAGAAGTCAGTGCAGGCATGCAGTTATTCTTGTTTTGGGGAGGGAAATTTGAATTGATAAAACTTCAATGAAGAATATTTACTATGATGGTTTTTTCTTAGTTTCTGTTGGGGTTGAGTGCTCAAACATTGACATCGATGTTAAAATCGATTCTAAAGACAGCTTCATTGTGCAAAGCTATGTCACACCGTACTATAAATTTTTAACTATTTTATGATAAAGTAGCAGCAAGTATGGATGGCTTTAGTAATTCACTGTTTTCAGACATTCATATTTGTTGTGCTACTTCAGTTTACAAACTTGTGATATTCCACTGTCCATTACAACAAGGTCAGACAGTAAATACTAGTCCTAGTGGTATTTAGCCATGGCATATAGCCGTGTGGACATCAAGGACTAATCTATAATTTGGCAAACTTCCTGCAAATTGAATATACCCACATAAAGACACACATCAATTTATTGGTTCCAATCCAGATTGGAATAGAAATTGGTGTTGATGACAAACATGGAGGTACATAAAGACTGAACCTCACTTTTCCTAATTTGTACCAGAATATCCATTCCAAGGAGTTGCTCTTGAGTAGTTACTCCCTACCATCATGAGTGAGACATTTGTCTGAATTGGTCTGTTTCTACGGACACCAGATGACCCTGCATTATAGTGCAGCTTCACCCCTCGACTGCTATGACTTTACACAGTTATTACTTTGTTCATCTGCTGTGGCTTGTTAAAATGTGAATCATTTATCTGTGTTATGTGTGAGGAGAAATAACTATTAAACAAAGGAAATAAAATAGATCTTAGTTTCAGTGCCTCTAAAACCTGAAGAGATATGAATTTGGGGAGAAGGGATGAAGTATGCTTCCCTGACGTGTACTTGATATAAGAAAGATACTGCTCTGGGGTGGTTGAAGATCCAATTGTGTTCAGCATTTTGGGAGAAAAAGAAAAAAGACAATGTCTGGGGAAGGGTACTGACTTTCAAATCATTTTTCATTTAATTATCTCATTAGCTTTCCTGCAACCATTCTTTTTGCCTTTTTTTTTTTTTTTTTTAGTTTTGCTCTGCTCTAATCCTTTTTCATTATGATTAGAACTTTTTTTTATTTGATTTCACACACAGTTATTAGCATAACATGATCTGTTTCAGGATTGTCTTGGGGATCATCACAAAGAAGAACATATTAGAGCATCTCGAGCAACTAAAGCAGCACGTCGAACCCTTGGTGATTAGATATATCAGATCTCATAATTAGACACATTAGAAGTCAGGAAGCATGAAACTTGTGAACTGTTCAGGGCTTTTATGACATCGGCTAAACAATGAAATCATCTTGTGCTAAAAATTTGTATTAAACCATAAATCAATATGTGCAAAATCCTTTTGTAGAAATTAAGCTGTTAATACGGACGTACTGTTAGTCACAACATTAAAGGAAAGTAACCAATAGACTTTCTGATCTTTTTGTTCCTGAGATCACATAGATCCATCTAGTTGATGTGCTCCTTTCCCGGGTGGGAAAGCACGCAGCTAGGAATACTTTTTCCCTGCCTAATGCAAATTAAGATTTTCTTATATGCCAATTTCTGTTTCTGATCTTGACAGCTTTAAATAGCTGTTAAATAGCAAAGTAAGTGTCACGTCTTTTAAGAAGCAAAACTAAGCATGTTTTTAATGTATCGCAGCATTAGCTCTTCCCTGTAATCCCCCTTTATCGACATGATTTTTAAAAAGTGCTCTTCTTTTTAGTAAAGTCCTGTGATTTTATGTAAAGTCCTGTGATTCTGCTGCTGTTACCTACAGCAATTAATGTACTCCTTTATCAAATGTTCAGTGATATCCTAAGCCACTAAGTGGCATGCTACTGTGTCGACTATTGACTTCAGAACGTAGATATTGTTTTAACCGTGATGTTGTGAACTAACCTTAGTTTAGATGGTAGACTTTGTCTTCATTTGGACATGGGTTGCTAGTTACAGCTCTACTAAATATACCCACCAAGTTTAGCTGCTTATGTGCAAAACATGCTAATTATGTTCTCATTTTATGCTAATATTTCACAAGTATTTCATGCGTCCTTTAATAAGACAAAACGAAATGTACTAACCAGAATAACAAGGGCAGCAGCTCATTCATTCTGCTCTTTGCTTCTCCTGTGATATTATCCTTTTGGACAGTCTCACCTTTTTTGATATTTCAGAGAGTTATAATTTTAAAAGCCACGAAGATGCTGTCCTAAGAGCACAGTATCTAAATTGGAAAATGAAAACTTCCTTTTCTTATTCACAATTTATTTTCTTAAAGCTGTGAACTCCAAAACATTGTTAACTGTTGTTTATCTTACCAAAGTTTCATGGCCAATATGGTGCGTTCCTATGAATACATTCAGCCTGAGCCAGTGCGTCAGCCTGGAAGGATCCTTATGATTTAAAAATGGAGGGAAAGGGAGTTTGATTTGCCGTTAGGATTTTGGGCCATCAAGCGGTACGTCCCTTCTGATGGCTAGGTTGGAACGTGCTTCCCTTACGAAATGGGATCAATATCACTTCTTTTTCATACCTCTTTTTTCTTTGTCCCTCTTTGTTACTTTTTTGTTGGCATACGCTAATCAAAATTTCATTTTTGTAGAAACAAAAATAAAAATTGTCACGGGCTCTACTTGTATTACTTGTATGTCATTAAAATGGACTACAGCTGTCAGAGACCATCTGATATGGTGTCTCAGCATTGCTGTCTTTTAACCAACCGGTGGTTCCTCAATAATATTTTGATTAATAAAATGTTTTTGTTTAAATAAGAAAATCAGGCTGTTTACTTTTGCTCTATTCCTGTCAACAAAAAGGACTTGGCTACAGATTTGTTCTGCTTTATTCTTGTCCTGCTTGGATTAATGTCGATCTTCCGTTTATCCTTTTCAGGCGCCTCCTTGGCATTATAACAAAAAAAGATATCCTCCGTCATATGGCCCAGACGGCAAACCAAGACCCCGCCTCAATAATGTTCAACTGAAACCCATAGCTGAGGAGAGAGAGGAAACTGAAGAGGAGGTTCATTTGTTGAATAGCACAACACTTTAGTCTGGGGGATACTTCTAAAATCAGAGACGAGAGCTGGGTTTTTGCGTAACAGTGCTGCTGGAAATCAGGAGTTGGTCTGGGGGAATATGTGGTGAGGAGGAGGAAGGCTGATGGGAGCGAGGGAAGGGAGAGCTGCTGTCCTGCACTGGATGCGTCCCGAGACGTCAGGTCTGCCATGATAGTGCAGTGGGTGAGCTGTGCGAGGTGGCGCAATTCTCCAGCCCCAGCCTGGTACTTCAGCCTTGAAGAGATGTGGTATTAGTCCCTGTTTCTGGAGGGATCGTTCTGAATTGAGCCATCTTACGGAGACCGAAAGGTCTTGCCCTTCTTACCATTGAAAACTGTTGTGTTAACTCATGAAACGTATTATTACACGTCACCTTTCTACATTCCAGAAGAGCTTTATTTCTCTCTCTCCTGAGCCCTAACAAAGCCTCTTTAAAATTGGTGTGCCCTTTTCAAGCAGTTGTTTCTCATATTGAGATGTACTGTGGGTTACTGAGGTTCAATCACAAGAAGGGAGGTTTTTCTTGTGCCATTAAACGTGTAAGTTTGTACATCGTGAAATGCTCGGGGCAGTACAGATCCGCTGCGACAAAAACAGATTGAACAGGTAATACCTTGCAAGAACCGTGCGAGACTTCTTCCAACCCGTGCACGGTCGTGATACGAGAAAAATCAAAACCAGATGAAACTAGTGTTTCAAAGAAAAATACTGTTTTTGCTGCAGAAAATATCAATAACGTGACCTGGTCTTATGCAATTTTTGTATTATTGAAAACACTATGATATATACCAATGTTGTGCAGTATAAGGAAAAATACTGCTGTTCTACTAGTTAAGAGCTGGAACAATTCTGTATACGTGTATCTGGTAAAAATTGCATGCTACAACACTGGAGATCTTTTTTCCCCCCCTGTAAAATTTGAGAACGGTCATTTTTATTTTTTCTTCTGCACAAAAGACGTTCCACTGCTGACATGGTAGGAAGAAATGTAACTCATAACTTGCACTAAATGTATATTATTTTTCTTGAAGTTTTACCATTCTTTATTTATATTTGTATGGATTTAAAAAAATCTATTAAATATGAATCAGTTAATATCTCACATAACTAATTACCTTTTTAATGTGATTTTATAGAATAATTCATAATCCTCTGCAAGTGATGGAGGATTAGCAAATGTTTACAACTAGATGAAGGGTTTAAACAAAATGGTTTCTTTATGATCCAACACGCATATAAGATCATTTTCAAATGCAACTTTCACTGCCGTTACCTTGAGATTTCCTTTTTTCCTTTACTAGCAGATAACTGGAACAGTAATATTAAAATTTTATTTTTAAAAACTGCAGGGTTTAAAAAATAATAGCAAGAAAGCAACTATAATTGTTAGATTGCTTTTGACGCTTTTTTTTTTTTTCCCCAAGTATATAAAGGTGTAAATGATATGTAGCCACAGAAGATGAGCAGCGGGGCAGAATCTAATTCAGTACTTGAAACTTTGGCAGGACTTCAAAATTCAGCAGCAACACACACACTAGCAGGTGACCTGACAGATCCCTAACTTCTTTACTTTTTCTTTCCTGTCACTAGATTAATTTGGTTCATGTTCATTTTGTCAAGCCACCACAAACACATGCAGAGGAAAAAGGGGAATATGCTATAAGCATAAAATTGGGAGGAAAAAAATAAAGATATCTGGCTGCCAAAAATCATACTTTACAATTGGGGTTTAGATAAAATTTCCTTCTTTTAACAATTATGCCTATAAGACTTCAAAAATATAAATGTCAAAATTAATAATCCTAGGTATCTCTAGGGCATTCATCACAGTTACCTCAACCATCTTTATTTGCAAAGTACTCGGGATGATTTTATCTTAAGTACGATAACATAGTGAAAACAGAATTCTGGTACTTCTGGCAAGCTCCAAAATAATGCCTGTGCATTAAGTGCTCTGCTGAATTTTTACTGATTTTTCTTGAGTATAAAACTACCATCTACATCTCATCATCTCATCTCTGGCAGCAACTGGAACCAGTAGAAAGCGAAATGTGCCAGTGCGCTCATGGTGGTCAGCCCCTGTATTAAAAATGGGTTTGGAACCAAAACAGGGAATTGGGCTGTGTTAAGATGGGAGCGTTGCAACGACTAGCTGTATTCTTCCACGAGAAGTCAGTGCTAGCGCTTCACAGCTGCTTCTGTTGCATCGTGTAAGCCTGAAAAAAAACTTTACAGAAGAAACTTCACAAAGAGCAGGATTCGGCCCATTTCCAGAAGGCAGCTCTGGAAGTTGTCTGTGATGCTGATTTCTGTTGTTCAATTTTTTTTTCACAGTGGAAGAATAGAAATGTACTACAGGTATAAAAATTGCTTTAACTCAGTTTGAAAGCTCTGCCATTTCGGACGTTCTCATAAACACTGCTGTGTGTACTCTTTTAACTTGCACCTAATTCTACAGACTGTACTGTCTGAATTAAAATACAGTTCACGCCCCTGCTGTGTTTTATAATTTCAGTATGGATCCTGAGCGCTGCATATAAATTGTGCATCTCTGCTCTTCTTACCTGCTAAGCTTTCCCTGTTGACATTTAAAATGTCTTCTGGTAAATAGATGCTAGAGGTTCTGATAATGAAGTATGTGTGCCTGTGCTGTGCAACAAGAATTTTCTAACCTAAAACTTCCAGCGCCTTACTCAAGCTACTAATTTGAAAAAAAAAAAAATGTGGTGGATGGGAGGGGGAAAGTGTCAGCATTTTGGGGTTTTTTTTCTTTTTTTTTTTTTTTCCCAGACCATTCAGTTACTGGTTCATGAAGAATGCATTCTTTGTTAATCTGTGATGTTGCCTAGAGCTGTATTTAATATTGATCTTAATGTTTTTATTTATAATAGTGTGGTAGAGCTGCGTATCATTACAGTAAAGATTCTGATTACTGTGATGATTTAATCAAACATTAAAAACTTCTGTATGACCATTTATTGTTCTGTTGTGTTTTCTCATTGTTTTCACAAACAATATTTGTATTGATTTTTGTAGTTATTTTCCCTGAGAGTTTTACATACAAAACTAGTAAGCAGGTAACAAAGAAAAGACTGAATTTTAGGAAGAGATGCAGTCTTTGCATTGCCTAATATGTGCCTACGAATCAGCAGCCAAATCAACCCACTCAAACAGATCAGTATTAGTGGGGTTTTTTTCCAAAATACAAATTTTAAAAATTGTTTGAATTACATAATTACAGAATAGTTGGCTTCCTGATTTAAAAGAGTTAAAGGTGGATGATGCTTTTACTGCCTAAAAACCAGGATGATGTAGTTTCTACATAGTACAGTTTCAGTACCTCTGGTTTAAAGACAAAATGGTTAGACAGCTGTTGATGATGGGTAGTAATGATGATACTTCGGTATTTTTTCAATTGGTGCAACCATTTTTCTTCTCAATTAGAGGTTAATAGATAAGACTGGAAAATCCCCACTAAGATCCCCATTTTTGTAGATTTAAGTTGATATTTAAATAACAATGCAAAAAAGGAATATTTTTTTGTTACTTGTATGATGTACAGGACATTAGTGTGAAGGTCTCTTCTCCCTGGAACCTAAGAAGTAAGGGCAGAGTGAGACTGAATTTTCAAGAAAGTACCTCTTTTTTACGTAGAAAACATAAAACTGGTCCAGTGAAAAAGTCCCTGTGTGCTTATGGTTGAAGAAATGGAACATTTCTATGCTGAGTGAAAGGGGTGGGGTTGTCAGATTTACAACAGAAGATGTGGCATGTGATTCTGAGAACCAAAACCACCTTTTTTGATTTAAAAACGCTGACTTACATTGTGAATTATTAGTTTATGCTGGAAGGGACCTTTAGAAGTAAAACTGCTAAAAAGTGGGGACAACTTTGAGATTTGAGCATGTTGCTGGTGGCCTATAATCTTCCATAGCAGGACTACTGGCATTAGGAATGACATAAAGTGCTCCAGTAGAAGTCACAGCACTGCATGATGTCAGGCCTGCTGAGTAAGAACAAATGTTATTTTCCATCGGTGTCTGGACTGTTTCTTCAACCAGTTGCCTGAGAATAAAAGCATAACAACAATAAAATAAAGCAGTGGACCAATGAACTTGAAAAAGAAATTGCATCTTGTACAAATCACTTCAATTCTATTTTCAAAAGTCCAGATTAGTGAGAACAGGGTTATTCATCTAATAAGGTAGCAAATGCAGCAGAATTTCCAATTTATCCCATAAACGTCAGGCTTGAATCTTACTTGTTTCCTGTTAATTCAGCCACATCTGAGACCTGATCTAGTGCTTTGCTGTAATGGCAAACGGGAACGTTGCTGTAACTGCGTTTTTTACCCGTGTGGTGGGACAGAATTGGGGGGCGGGAGGAGTCACCCAGAGCAGGGACAGGGGAGTTTGGTGAGTGTACGTAAGAGGCTGGTTGCAACTGAGCTACACAGAGCCAGTCCAGGATTGAATCACTTCCCCAGCGCCTACCGGTTCTATAAAAAAAATATAGAATAGCAACCGCTCGGGTTTGTGCTTCGTTTCAGCAAGTAGCACGGTAACGCGAACTGGTCTGGGTTTGGCTTCAGGCCGAGAAGCAGCGAGTAGTATGGACCCGAGAATACCCCGAACGCCGCGCTTCATCTTTTCCTGCTGTGCTGCAGCCCGCCCTGACGCACCCAGAGGCGACCGGAGG